TAGACTTTTTTGAACGAGTGTTTCTGCAGCCTGCCTCAAGTGGACACTTAAGAAACTGCAGTTTTCATCACTTCTGCATCTGCTTCATTTTTGTAAGACTGGAGGTTTTTGCTTGGTGTGTGTATGCCCTAAGGACCTTCAGTAAACTGTTTTTGTAACCTTTAAATGTTTTTTTGTGAGCAGTGATTGGGGTTGGGCGGTTAAACCCAATGCCCCTATGTATTTCTCTATTTAAGCGCTTCTTTGACAGGAAAAAAAAAATGGAATGAGACATTGCTTCATAGTGTATACAAAGCCTTGGACGGATGCTGTTGTTGCATCCATGGAGGGAGAAGGTCTCTCTCATACCTTGACCAACTTTAATTTCCTCTGCAACTGACACACAAACATACCTCATCCATAACATTGCAGAAATAATCTAGTTCAAACTCTTCACCCTCCGCTAACTGCTTCTTTTTCTTGACAAACCTTCGAAGTTGAAGCTCCTCCAGGTGACCTCCACACCACGGCAACTGGAGCTGTGGTCAGTGGCATGCAGGAATAAACACCGAACACAGCCTACATCTCTTCTTTGTCTACTTCTGGCTATTCTGCTAGCAAACAGGTTTGATGCCTTACAGGGATATTGTTACGACCCAGAGGAATGGTTAGGGGAAGATGGGAAGTAACAATAAATTAAACCACGCAGGGGAGACTAAATGAAGAGTAGGAAACAGGAAATTAGAATAAGCGAGTAATTTATTTACAATCAAAAGTTATAACAAAAAGAACAACTAAACAACTGCTTGCTTCTCTTGTTATACCAACTTTAGCAATGTCCGCACGATAGCAATACACAGCGGTCTATGGCTCCACACGTAAACCTCAATCAAAAAGCCACTCTACAGCCACAAGTAATGCTCAGAACAGCACCTAACTTCATCAACAGTATAGGGTACTAGCAATCAAACATCTTTTTAGCTTTGCCTAATTTCTTTAGCAAAGAAACCAAACACAACTCACCTACTCTCTTCCAGCAGCCACTTTTTTTTTATGGGGGAGCCCTGACAAGTCGATCACCTCAGGTCCACAGACAGTGGCCTTTTGAAAATTCTGCATATACTCTCCAAAACATGAGAAGCTGCTTCCAGTTTTTATGCCCCCAGTAAATGGATTATTCTGCCTGAGGACCTAAGAACGGCTCCAACTGTGAACGCTTTTAAAAATAGGTTAAACACATTCATGTTTGCTTTAGTGAATATGTTTCGAAGACTATAATTATCTATGCTGTTCACTGTATTTTTCACTTTAAAATTGCATATTATTCTTCTAATTGCTTTGCTGCTGAGTGTGGAGCACATTGCGCCTTGTGTATGAAATGTGCTATATATAAATAAAGTTTCACTACATGTTCTTTAGACTGTTTTCTTCTAGATCTATAACTTACAATCTACCAGAAAGAGTACACTTCAAAATAAAAGTAGAGTCGTGGGATACAAGGCAACCAAAAAGCAGGAGCTTTGTGTGGCTCCCATGGGATGTCTGGAGCTAATACTAAATGCTAACAGCAAGCAGAGCTTTATAGCCAACATGCCTGTGTTTACAGAGCCTGACACTAGGCAGAGACAGTGAACTTTACCATTAGCTACAATATCCTTATATCCTTATATCTGAGATGTCCAGGTGTCCTTGAACACAACATCTTTAGAAACAGCCACATAAAATAATGTTAAATGTAATTGGAGACATAAAAACAGACAAATTTTGTTTCTGAAAGAAGTTTAACATCTCTGCAGGAGGACTTAAGCAAAAGTCAACTCAAACCAATGACTTAGGAAGAAGGAACTCAATCTACAATGTGGTGGTGCAGCCTAACCTGAAGTGCGTGTGTTTTAATTCTTCATGTCCTCAAACATGTCAAAGCTGAAACCACTTCCTGGCACTAATTATCGGTGCTGGCCAGATGGCGTGAGGAAGTTTGCCTGTTTGAGTCCAGAATCGATAGTCAGAGGTGTTATCAGTTTATTAGCAGCACTGGTGTGCCAGAGACTCCCCTGATAAGATTGTAATGTAGCTGCAGTCCAAACAGCAGCTAAATGGAGTGAACAAGCTGCTGTTTGTGTCTGTCGGCTGGAAGTCGGATCGTATCTGCAAAACAAAGAGCAGCAGAGGAACGGCAAACAGAGGAGGAGAGGACAGAGCCTTTAGTCAATGCTGCTGAGCCAGGGATGAAGGGAGGGAGGGAGGGAAAGGAAAGAGAGGCGTAGACATCTGGAGTGTGTGAGGTGGAGGAATGAAGAGAGGCAGAGGAGGTGGATAAACAAGGAGTTTCCTACTGATGGCATCTCTGTTGTTAAGGTTCATCGTGGACGTCTTGTTAAATTTATCCTCTGAGATGAGTCCAAGAGCTTTGACCCAAAGCGACCCAACTTAACCTCATTACCATCCCGTCAAATACAATGGTACTGTTGAGAACTTAAGGTCTCAATATGTGTTGATCGAGGTACCTCTCAAGTTTCACTTTCTTAGAAGAGGCTCAGCAGTCGAGTAACATGTGATATTTAATATTTGGTGAAATTTTCTCAGGACAAAATTTCTTTTATGGATGTGCAACAACAGTACAAAGTTAAAGCTCCTGCAAGGAACTTTATTATTACATTGATTTTGGGGCCCCCCTGTGGACAAGGTTGCACAACAGACCTCTCTGCTGATCTTTTTCTCTAGATGTGTAAAGGCTCATTTATCCTCACCATACGCATGAAAATGTACGCGTTCATTTCAAACAGTGGTTCCGTCACTGCTCATTTACTTCCATGCGTACTTTACGTTGGCATGGATGTTAACCATTACATCCGCCAGGGGGCAGGCCGGAGTCAAAAGTTTCTGATAACAACAAACAAAAATAAAGATGGCGTCTGTGGGGGAGCAAGTGATAATGCGCATAGGAGACAGAAACCGAGGCAGCGTTGGAGGAGGCGGTGGTCGGTCAGGCCACTAAATGCCTTGTGGTTGGAGGACGGAGAATTCTTTTCTCTGGTGGTACCAATGAGAGAAACTGACGATGATGCTCAAAAAGCCTCACCATTGTCTTCTTTGTTTCTCTCTAGAGATGCATACTGGGTAGCGACAGCAGCAACACTGCCCCCACGATTTCCAGTGGTACTGCTCCGTCCAGCCCGTATCCGTAAGCTTCAAGGATACATGCAGAAATATGGACGAAAAGAACGCGAAGCACAGACAGAGAGCTTCGTCTGATTTATCCTGATTTATACTTTTGCACTTAACTCTATCACCCAATTACAATGTTGTGGCCAACACCATCTTGAGCATTAATTACATGTTTGTGCAATGCATTGCAAACTTCCCCCTATACACTGGCTGAAAGCATGACTTCTGAGCTTATGTCACCGCTTTTCAGTCCTGCTACCTTCCCTCCTTGTTGGTGCACTGAAAACTGAATTTTGACATGGATCAATAAATAATTAAATACCTACCTAAAATGCATTTATAAGATCGAGAGGTTAAAAAAAGAGTCAGTTTAAAAGAGGAGACAATGGAGGAGATAGACTATAAGGCCAATAGGGAAGAGGATGGGGGACGCTGGTGATACTGGAAATGTCTGCAACTGAGGGGACCAATCACAGGGCTAGATAACAGACACAACATGTTCTAACTGTGTGCGGGAGCGCAAAACTTCAGGCACAGTTATCCTGCCAAAGTATAACATGCTGTGCTGAATTTGTTAATGACTTAATCAATCAGGAGATAATTGTAATGCTGCAATCTTTTCTTTATAATTTCTACAGCAAACAAACAAAAATAAAGCAACACTTTTGCGCAATTATTGCTGAAGCAAAACAAATTATCTGCAGGAAATTCAAGTATTAAAAAGAGGCAGTAAAAAGCTTTAACAGGCGTTAACCAGCCGCAGCAGAGTCTCAGCAAACAGCGCTGGCAGCAGGAGAAACATGCTAACGAGCTCAGAGTGTAATTTCTGGGACAGGAACCAATCTGGTGAGGACCCAAGTGGTCTCTTTAGTATTCTTCCTGTGATCTCAGCAGCAAACACATACAGCTCCATTATCAGATACAGACTGTTAGCTGTGGAGGATGAGGCGATTTCCTGCAAGAAGTACTTTTAATACTAAAATTGGAGAAAAGAAATATCTGTAGGAGCTTGAAGCTGCTACATCGGGACAGGGAATGAACCAAAGTCGTGGGTTCCTCACTATCATTTCCTACACAGATCTCCCTCACAGGTCTCTGCTGTGTTAGAGAGGCAGTTTCCCTGAAATCATCAGTTCCTGACTAAAAACATTGCAGCCTCCAGGATACAAACCCTTTTTTTTGTGGGCTCCAGATTGGACTTCTGTCAGTGCAACAACACTCAGCTGATTTTAGTCTGCTCAATTCAAAAATTCTGAAATGGTTTAATTCATAATTGCTCACAAACAAATCCTGCCTTATTTACAACCACATCCTGGACAAATGCTTGGACTTGATATGTCTTACAGAAACCTGGCAACAACCAGATGTTTTTTTCTGTTTTAAATGAGACTAGTTCTCTTAGCTACTGCTACCTTCAAGAAGCCTGCAGTACAGGGAGCAGTGGTGGTTTGGCTGTAATGTACCATAGTCACCTGGATTTGTCTGTCTTAGAACTGTCCACATATTAATGTCTGTATTAAATGCAAACCCCCGTTCTCCATGACAATACTTCTAATATATCTACTACCTAAACCATATCCATCCTTTATTCCAGAGATGTATAACCACCTCTGAAAATTTTCCACAACTTCTTCTAACATCCTAATACCAGAGGATGTGAACACACACCAAAGGCCACACCTTCGATCTGGTCATTACTGGCTCTGCTCCTGTAAACAACGTATGTGTACGACCTGGGTGTGTCTGACCATAACGCCATTTCAATGGAGATTCCATTTTCATCCCTCTTCACCGAGCCAAAGTACCAAATCTGTTTCAGAAATCTAACAAATATTGACTCAGACTCCCTGACAATGGAGTGCCAGCATCTCCTCTTCATAAATACTTGTACAGTGGACTTCTACAATAACGCTCTGGGCAGTATCCTGGATGTCCTGGATGAGCCTGTCAGAGCCAGGATGGTCACTTTCTCCTGGTCTGCCCTTTGGTTCACCAGCAAGCTGCAGAGAATGAAGGCAGCTGGACGTGTCTCTGAGCGACGACACAAATCTAGTGGTCTCACTGTTCACAGACTGGCTACCAAAAACACTAGAGGGCCTACTCAAAGTCCATCAAAGAGGCACGGTCACGGTTCTTCTCTATCATCATCCAAAAACATCCTGGAAATTCCAAGCAGCTTTTTTTCACCATCCATCACCTTCTCAAACCTCAGACCTCCTCACTCACAGGAATAATAGAGGAGCTCTGGACTAAGTTCATCAAATTTTTAAAAATAATAATAGACAACATTCGATCAGCCCTCTCCGGACCCCCAGCAACACTCATCCTACCTGCTCACCCACAGTTTGGGATCTCCAAGCTGTGAGATAAAGGACATTATTCACCTGCGCCCTTGACTCCTTTCCTATAGCTCCAGTAAAGAAGCACACCTCTGCTATCTCTCTCCTCATCACCACAGTGATCAACCAGTTACTTCATAATGATCACAATCCACCTGCTCTAAAAATTGCCATAAACAAACCGCTCCTCAAAAATCCCGCGCTGAGCCTTTAAGTTCTTGCAAACTTCAGGCCCATATCAACCTCCCATTCCTCACCGAGGTTCTTAAAAAAGTTGTTGCTGTCCACCCTTGGTTACCGGTTCAGCATTTTGTCTTGATTTGGTGTACAACGTTGACATGCTTGGTCAAAGAGGTTCGATCTCCATTGAAAGAGATAATTTTACCACATATATTGCATTTTGCTTCATACTTGTCTTCCGCCTTGGTAAAATGGAGCCACACTTTGGACCTTTAATTCATGAACAAGAAATTAAGTTGATGCAAAATTAGACTAACAAAAACCAAGTTTTATGAAGCTGCTGAAATGGGGGGACAAAGTGTAAACGTTTTCTTAAGATGACAAACTTTTAACAGTGTGATTCACCTTTTTTGCACCACAACATCTGAGGGGGGACTAACCATGTTTGGTCTTACAACAAGAGAGATGAAGAATTTCAGCCAGTCTGGTAGTAAATGAATGAATCACGCCTGTCGAATCTTTATGACAACAGATTACGTTTCACTTTGTAGGATTAAAATACAGCTCTGTGAAATGCTAGACTACTGATGATCTGCAACTTTTCTTTTTTAGACTGCTAAAATTCACTTTAGGTGAGAAAAACTTAAAATAAAAAATGAAGAAAAGCAGAATCTCAGGGAAATATGGTTTGAGACCGACTTTTGTTTGTGTGTTATTGCAGTAGGATTTATTTTCGAGACACTAAAACTGATGTTTTTCATCTGCAGAGAAAAAGAACAAGACACAGTAACTCCTTTTGCCACAGGAGAAAAAAATTCTCATCTTTGTTGTCTATAGGAGCAGAACTGTTTGTGCAGGTGAGACAAGGACTTTGTGTTTTAAATCAACCTGAACGTCTGAAAGAGAGTTCGATATGAATAAAACACAAACCAGGAGCAAGGAAATGAATCTTAAAAAAGACTCACTTTTTTCTGGAGCTGCAATAAAACATCTTAAGATCACATACAAGCAATAAAAATGAGAAAGTTCATCTGGGAGTCAACCCGATGCTGACGACAGAATATCATATGCTGTGTGTTGTTATAGATCATTGTATAAGGCCGAGTTTACCGAGCACATTCAAACAAAAACTAATTTACAGCAACTCTCTCCAAGTGTCTGTTCACAGTCTCACACATCTACCTCCTCCCTTCCTTTCCGCCCCCTCCCCCTTTCCCTTTCCTCTCCCCTTCCTCCTCCTCCTCAGTATTCTGGTGGCAGCAGGCACCGCTGCCAGCGCCTATCGATCAGACATTTAGCTGAATGTTCTCATCGAACAGCCGGCTGCTGCGGACGAGACGCACGTGGAGAGACTGGGAAACAGCCCCCCTAACACACACACACACATATATATATATATATACGCACACACACATCTGCAGACACTGAGTGGAAAAAGTGCAGGGAAAATAAAGGAGGGTCATGTTTGAAGGCAGTTTGAGCAGACTGTTATTGCTTTCAACATGAAATGAATTCATAATAACAGAAGAGGCGAATTAAACAGCAATGCAAATATTTTTACGAGTGAAAACCTCGTTAAAATGCTGCTCCAGTTCCTCCAGCTCATCACTGGGGTGTTGGGTTTGGATTTAAGACAATAAATCATTTTCACCTCAAACTAGGAAAATATCTCAGTTGAGCTTTCTTTGAGCACTAATAGATGTCACTTTGACCTCAGAAAGCACCAAGGAAAAAAACAACTGGTAATGGAAAGTTGAAAATATTTTTTTTTCAGACCTTTGACTTAGAGAGATAATTAGATTTATTTTTAACAAGAGGTTGTATCATCCAGGGCTCTTTTTTAAATTTTGATTGAGATTTTTCTCTAACAAGTCTGGACAGAATCAAACAGACTTCAAAATCCTATGATTTTAGAGCTGAAGCTTTCCGGAAATGTAGATTAATTCATTTTTTTATGATTGTGTTTCTTCACCCTTATCCCTTTTAAGTACAGGTAGATCTTCACCAACACTCTCAGTTACCTGTGTTTAGTACAAACCCCAAACCTAATGAAGTTGATAGGTCATGTAACGTGACTAAAAACACAATACAATGATCTGCAAATGTTCAAACCGATTAAATTAAGATTTTTTTTTTCTTTTTTCCAAATATTTACTCATTTTGAACTCAATGCTACAGCACATTCTGAGAACGGTGGGTCCTCTTTACCGCTGTGTTGCATCACTTTTCCTAATCCCTAAATTCCTGCAATATATACTGCTATACTTTTGGGCTATTTGCTCACGCAGTTGTTGACAAACTGGTGAACCTGGCCCCATCCTTGCTTGTGACTGACTGAGCCTTTCGAGATGGTCCTTTGATGCTCAATCATGACACTCACCTGTTCCTATTAACCTGATCATCTGTGGATGTTTGTTTTTCTGAACAGTCCTCAATTTTTCCAGTCTTTTTTTGCCCCTGTCTGAACTTTTCAGGAACGTGTTTGAGACATCAAATTCAAAACTAGTGAATATTTGTATTAAAACAGCCAAGTTTATAACTTTGAACATCAGATATCTCTTTTGGATTTGCAAATCATTGTATACTGTTTTTATTCACATTTTACACAACAACCCAACTTAATTGGAATTGCGTTTGTATTTGGTGTTCAAGTTGAAAGCTTTAGCCAAATATTCTGCCAACTAAGTATAGCCAGCCTATGTGTGTGTTCATGTTTTTCCAAGTATGAAAATTTTTTCCAATATGTTTAATTGGTACTCATTATCTTTTTATGATTCAGTGGTAGAAGCTAGTGATTCATTTCGTAAAGGAAATGTCTGTGACTGGGAGTTGGGGGTTGAGTGAGACAGAGTCAATAACAAAATAATGTCTCCAGCTTACTTTTTACATCAGGACCTCTCAGAGAGGATTATCAGCAACACAAAACCATGAAAAGGGAACAACAAGTTCAACAAGCAGATCAACATCAACATCAGCCGAGGAGAAGGTCAACAGCCAGTCCAGATAATCATAAAGAATCATAGAAGACAGCAAAACATCAGCGAGGAGAAAAGACTGATTTACTCTGAGGAAAACCACACTCCCACCCACCCACTCACACAGATATACACACACAGACACCCACTCACCAACGCACACACACACACACGGTTAGTGTGAGGGGATAAATCAGAGTGAGACAGGTATAGTCAGCAGGTGAAATGATGGAGAGGAAACTAATGGTCAGCTCCACTTCAGTGTGTGTGTGTGTGTGTGTGTGTGTGTGTGTGTGTGTGCGTGTGTGTGACCCCCCAGGTCAGATCTATAATGGAAGATCCTCTCCTCCATCTCACTGCTGTGCCCTTTACACTGCCGCTGACACACATAGCAGCACAAATATACACACAGACACACACACACACACACAGCTGAAGAAGAAAATAGTCAAAGTGTATCACACAGACAACAACCCGAGAAGAGCAGAGAAACAGCTTTGTCACAAAATGAATCCAAATATATACTGTCAAAGCTTTATTAAAGCTATGTGATATCATGTCATTAAAATTTAAGCACTGCATGTCATTTATTTTATTAAATTAAAAAATATTCCTTTAAATTGATATACCTCTCAATCAGTCAGTGCCAACCATAGACTGTATGGCCAACTTGGTTCACATCATGTTCAATCACATCGAGTTTTTACAAACTTGCATCATCCAGCCACTAACTTGCTGTGTCTGGCTAAGAGCAGCTCCCTTTCCCTCTCTCCCCTGTCCTATTGGGTTTATTTTTGCTTATTCATGAGTATCCCACGTCTGTTCACATGATTGGATCCCAGTTTCAAATGACTGTATCTAAGGGTGCTTTTTTTCACAGCAGGAGATTTCCCAGGGAACTAAGAACTTTTTGAGGAACTTTTGAACAGCAGGAGCCAAGGTCTAAGTCTTAAGGTCGAAAAACTTTGTGGATCAGGGCCTAACAAGGACATCATTTATGTTAAATCAACAGGTCCTGATTATGACATGTAAAATACGGTGAGGTTTTAAGTAAGTAAGACACTTGAGTGGCACTTATGGAGTCAGTCGAGGAAACACTCGAAAGAAAAAATAGACAATGGGAATTCGAAGCAACGTCCCAGTTACATTGGAAAATCATGCCGAAATGGACCTAATCCTTCTCTGTATGCGTCTGCTTGTCACTGCCACTGAATAGGACATGGAGGCAATGGAGGAAGATAAGCAGCCATGACTGGTGGGACAGAGTCGTCATGGAGTTCACTGATACTAAGCGGAAAGAAAACATTCTGATAGACAGAGCCTCCTTAACAAGGCTGTGTGATGTCAATGAACCATTCATGAGCCCGCAGGAAACAGACAGACTAAGCAGCAGTTCTGCTTCCCATGAAAGAGGCCAACACATCGTACAAACCAGGCAGATGTGGAGAATATTGGTTGGTGGGTACCAGTCTGGAGTGCACAGAAGTACAGTCAAAATGTATGTGTACATGTTCTGTGGTGGTATGGTGGACAAAGCCATGAGCCTTTTCGTTGGGTTGATAATCGAGAGCTTGAATCAGACCTCTCTGTGCCCAGATTGTGCTCCGCCCAACTAGCAACATGCATTCAGACGCACCTCAACATACTCTGCACAACATTCTTTGGCCCACGTGTTTAGGATTGTTTGGACTGGACCTGAGTTGTTTGGTTATATTATAAAAAGCTCCCTCATCCTATTCT